CCCGCCGATACTTACCTGTGGCCGTGACTTTGAGCGTTGCGGCGGGAAAAACACTCAAGTGGTAGGGGTATGCTTGTGACACTTAGAGCAGCGGGAAAACACTCAAGTAGCAGGTAGGCCGTTACCACTCAAGCAGTGGTAGAAGTGTCGGGTACTTGAGGCCGAGCAAAAGAGGACAAAAGTTGGCATTTTTAGAGGCCCAGTAGCGGTAGGCTAGAGGTAGGCCGGTACCAGTCCAAGTAGCCTGAGTCTAGGGCCTGTACGAACGATATCAGAGCCTGCAATGGTGTTTCCTTCCGAAAGGGAGGAGGTACCGGTTGCTGGGAGGTCGCGTGGCCTAGGAAGTCACCACCCAAGAGGCAAGTAGGCCGCTATATCTTCTGGAGGAGCGAGTAGCTCTTCCTCATTTGCGGTGTGCAAGGTTGGGCGACATATTGCTTGATCGGGCAGCCAGTTTCAGAGCACTGCCTGGGAGGACGAACAGCAGTTGGGCGCTCAGCTTGGCTATGGCGATCAGCCCAACCTGAGGAGGAGGAAGAAGGGGGCGAGGAGGAGAGTGGCGAGGTACCTACCTGGCTATGGTGGACACCATCTTCATCACCTTGATAGGCGCTGCATCTGGAAGGCCCCAGTTGGGGTAGTGCCGCAACAAGGAAGCTCGAGGTAGAGTCGGGCATGGCGGCTTGATGAGCAGCGACCATAGCTGCTTTGTGTTGTCCTTTGCACAGGAGGGCAGAGCCCTTAGTAGTCCGCCATAGCCTTTCCATGGGAGAGGAGGAAGAAGGGGGAAGCCATGGCTATGGTGGACCAGTTATTGTGCTGGCAGTAAGAGGGAACTTCGGATATTGATTCTGGTTCATCCACTCATTGTTATTATTATTATTTGGAACAAGTGGACCCGCCGCGGCTCCGCCCGCGGCGAGAAGAGGTCCCCCTCCCCCTTCTCGACTCCCATCCCGACTTCTCCCCCTCCCCATCTCGACCTCTTCTTCGAACCTCTCCCCTCAGATGTTATCGACATGTTGGTGTGTATGTGTGCCAAAAAAAAAAAATAAAAAAAAATCAACCTCTCCCTTCTCCCTTTCCTCTTTTCCTTCCTCTGACGCCCTTCCCCTTCCCGACTCCCATCCCGACCTCTCCCCCTTCCCATCCCGACCTCTCCCCCCTTCCCGTATCTCGACTCTGATCCCAACCTCCCATCCTTCGCCAACCTTTCCCTTCATTGCCTCTCCCTCTCCCCTATCCACTATCCCCCCTCCTCTATCGCGGGATGATCCCCCTCCCCCTTCTTGACTCCCATCCCGACCTCTCCCCCTGCCCATCCCGACCTCTTCTGCCAACCTCTCCCCCCTTGCCTTCTTTCGCCTACCTCTTCCTCCATCGTCTCTCCATCTCCCGTATCCTGATTCCTGTCTTTCTTTCCTCTCCTCCAACGTCTCCCCCTCACCGCGTCTATCTTTCCCCTATCGCGAGCTCTCCCGACTCCCATCCCTACCTCCCATCCCAACACCTTCCCCCTTTCCTCTATCATCATTACCTTTCCCCTATCCCGACCTCTTTCTTTTTTGGACGCCCTTCCCCTTCCCGACTTCGATCCCGACCACTTCCCCTCCCCATCTCGACGTCTCCATCATTTCCTATGTCCCGACTTCCATCCCTCCCTCCTCCCGACTCCCATCCCGACCTCTCCCCCTCCCCATCCCGACCATATCCCGACTCCCATCCTAATCTCTCCCCCTTCCCATCCATTGCCTCCGACCTCCTCTATCGGTCCATCGCGACCTTTCACCTCCAGACTCCCATCCCGACCTCTCCCCCTCCCCATCCCGACCTCTTCCCCCTTTCCTTCCTTCGTCTCTCTCCATTCCCGACTCCCATCCCGACCTCTCCCGATTTTCTTCGTGCTAGATCCCTCCTCCCTCCTCCTCCTTTTCGTCGTTCACTCTCCTCTTCTTTCCTCCTCCTTTCCGTGGGGTGCCACGTGGCACACTGGTGTGCGCGGCCAAAAAAAAAAAAAAAAAAAAAAAAACTTTCCCCCCCCCCCCCCCCCCCAAAAAAAAAAAAAAAAAAAAAAAAACTTTTCTGACGCCCTTCTCCTACTCCGATCCCGATCACTTCCCCTCCCCATCCCGACCTCTCCTTCCTTTCCCGTATCCGACTTCCATCCCTTCCTCCTCCCGACCCCCATCCCGACCTCTCCCCTTCCTCATCCCGACCATATCCCGACTCCCATCCCGATCTCTCCCCCTTCCCATCGATCGCCTCCGATCTCCTCTATCCGTCCATCGCGACCTTTCTCCTCCCGACTCCCATCCCGACCTCTCCCCCTCCCCATCCCGACCTCTCCCCCCTTTCCTTCCTTTGCTTACTTCTCTCTCCATTCCTGACTCCCATCCCGACCTCTCCCGACTCCCATCCCGACTTCTCCCTCCTTCCCTTCCTTCGTCGACCTCTCCCTCCATCGCCTCTCCCTCTCCCCTTCCTGATTCCCATGCCGACCTCTCCCCCTCCCCATCCAGTCTTCTCCCTCCTTTCCTTCCCCTTCGTCTATCCCGACTCCCATCCCGACCCCTCCCCCTTGCTATCCATCGCCCCTGACCTTCCGTATCCGTCCATGCCGACCTTTCTCCTCCCGACTCCCATCCCGACCTCTCCCCCTCCCCATCCCGACCTCTCCCCTCTTTCCTTCCTTCGCTTACTTCTCCCTACCTCTCGCAACTCCCATCCCAACTTCTTCCTCCTTCCCTTCCCTCGTCGACTTCTCCCTCCTTCTCCCCTTTCCTTCTTTCCTGCCCTCCTCCTCTATCCCGACTCCGATCCCAACGTCTCCCCCCTGCTAGATCCCTTCCCCCTCCCCCTCCCTCATCCCGACTTCTCCCAACTCCCATCCCGATTTCTCCCTCCTTTCCTTCCTCCGCCGACCACTCCCTTCATCGCCTCTCTCTCTGTCCTATCCCAACCCCCTCCCCCCCTCCTCCTCTATCCCGATTCCCATCCCAACGTCTCCCCGCTTCCCCTATCCCGACCCCTCCATCCATAGATCCCTCTTCCCTCTTCCTCCTTTCCGACGTCGTTCCCCTTACCGACTCTTGCCCCGACCTCTCCCCCTCCCCATCCCGTCCTCTCACCCTCCCCATCCCGTCCTCTCCCCCCTCTCTTTCCTTTGCCTACCTCTCCCTCCATCACCTCTCTCTCTACCGTATCCCGACTCACATCCTGACCTCCCTTCCTTCGCCAACCTTTCCCTTCATTGCCTCTCCCTCTCCCCTATTCCAACCACCATCCCCCCCTCCTCTATCCCGGCATGGTCCCAACTTATCTCCCATCCCGACCTCTCCCTCCTCCCCTTCCGTCGCCGACCTTCCCTATCCCTCCTTCGCCCTTCTCTATCCCGACTCCCATCCCGACCTCTCCCCCTTCCCATCCATCGCCTCCGACCTCCCCTATCCCTCCATCCCGACCTTTCTCCTCCCGACTCCCATCCCGACCTCTCCCCCTCCCCATCCCGACCTCTCCCCCCTTTCCTTCCTTCGCTTACTTCTCCCTCCATCCCCGACTCCCATCCCGACCTCTCCCGACTTCCATCCCGACTTCTCCCTCCTTCCCTTCCTTCGTCGACCTCTCCCTCTCCCCCTTCCCATCCATCGCCTTCGACCTCCCCAATCCTTCCATCCCGACCTTTCCCCCCTCCCCTTCCTTCCCGCTAGATCCCTTCTCCATCCCGACCTCTCCCCCTCCCAATCCCGACCTCTCCCCCCTTTCCTTCCTTCCCTTACTTCTCCCTCCATCCCTGACTCCCATCCCGACCTCTCCCTCCTCAACCCCTCCCGGCGTGCTCCCAACGTGTCTTGCCGACCCCCCCTATCCCTCCTTTCCCCTTCTCTCCCATCCCTACCTCTCTCCCTACCCGTCCATCGCTTCCGACCTCCCCTATCCCTCCTCCCTCCTTCTCTATCCTGACTTCCCTCCTCTTCCTTTCCGCTAGGTCCCTCCTCCCCCCTTCTCCTTTCGCCCGCAAAAAAA